GATTGCTCCCATAACAAGAACAGAGTGACTATGGGCAAATCAGCAAGAGACGGTGACATCTATTCCTGCAAAAGGCATAGTTTTACTCCTGCAATACACACAAGTTGCCATTATAGAAACCTGGTGGGTTGATAACTAATGACTGAAATGTACTGATAGAAGGATACAAACTATTAAAAAGAAACAGACTTAGCAAAAGAGGAGGTGGAGTTATATATATGTAAAAGAGCACTTCCTCTGTATATAGAGATGCACACAACAAAAGATGAAAGCCTTCTACTACAAATAAAAAGAGGTTGAGATTTTGGAAAAAGTGCAGAGAAGAGCAAATAAGATGACGAAAGGCCTGGAGATTAAAACGTATTAAAAACAGCTACAAGGATTTGGGTTTGCCTCGTCTAGAGAAAAGAAGAATTAGGTGTCACATGATAGCAGAATTACAGCATTTGAGGGGCTGCCACAAAGAAGAGGAGGGGGTCAAATTATTCTCCAAAGCACCAGAAGGCAGGACAAGAAATAATGGATGGAAACTAACCGAAGAGAGAAGCAACCTGGAATTCAGGATAAATTTCCTAACAGTAAGGAAAAGTAACTAGTGGAAGGGCTTACCACAGAATGATGTTGACTTGTCTTCCTGCATTAGGCATGGTACGCTCTCCTTCTGGAGAGTTCTAATTCAGTTCTAATTCTACATAGATTTGATGAAGTCTTCTCCTAAAAGGTGAGTTCCACTCCTGCCGCGCGAAGAACAGACCGTTGAATGACTTTTGCAAACAACTAAAAGATGTTGACGTGTCCTCCTGCTTAGGCATGGTACACTCTCCTCCTGGAATCCTCATGATGGAGGCTGAAAGACTTTGGGCCAATACTCAGCGGACGGTGGGTTCTAATTCTGCATTAGATTTCACGAAGTCTTCTCCTAAAAGGTGAGTTCTACTCCTGCCGTGCGAACAACAGACTACTGAATGACTTTTGCAAACAACTAAAAGATGTTGACGTGTCCTCCTGCATTAGGCATGGTACGTTGTCCCCCTGGAATCCTCATGATGGGAGGCTGAAAGTCTTTGGTCCAATATTGAGTGGACGGTGAGTTCTAATTCTACATTAACTTTGATGAAGTCTTCTCCTAAAAGGTGAGTTCCACTCCTGCCGTGCGAACAACAGACCGTTGAATGACTTTTGCAAACAACTAAAAGATGTTGACTTGCCCTCCTGCATTAGGCATGATACGCTCTCCTCCTGGAATCCTCATGATGGGAGGCTGAAAGTCTCTGGTCCAATACTGAGTGGACGGTGAGTTCTAATTCTACATTAACTTTGATGAAGTCTTCTCCTAAAAGGTGAGTCCACTCCTGCCGTGCGAACAACAGACTACTGAATGACTTTTGCAAACAACTAAAAGATGTTGACGTGTCCTCCTGCATTAGGCATGGTACGCTCTCCTTCTGGAATCCTCATGATGGGTGGCTGAAAGACTTTGGGCCAATACTCATTGGACGGTGGGTTCTAATTCTGCACTAGCTTTGTGAAGTCTTTTGCTAAAACGTGAGTTCCACTCCTGCCGTGGCGAACAAGAAACAGTTGAATGACTTTGGTTGAATGAGTAAAAGATGTTGACTTCTCTTCCTGTATTAGGCATGGTATGCTCTCCTCCTGGTATCCTCATGATGGGTGGCTGAAAGTCTTTGGGCCAATACTCAGCGGACGGTGAGTTCTAATTCTGCATTAGATTTCATGAAGTCTTCTCCTAAAAGGTGAGTTCCACTCCTGCCACGGGAACAATAGACCGTTGAATGACTTTTGCAAACAACTAAAAGATGTTGACTTGTCTTCCTGCATTAGGCATGGTATGCTCTCTTCCTGGAATCCTCATGATGGGAGGCTGAAATACTTTGGGCCAATACTCAGTGGACGGTGAGTTCTAATTCTGCATAACTTTGATGAAGTCTTCTCCTAAAAGGTGAGCTCCACTCCTGCCGCATGAACAGAAACAGTTGAACAAGTGGTTGAATAACTAAATGTCTTCTCTTCCTGCATTAGGCATGGTATGCTCTCATCCTGGGATCATCATGATGGGAGGCTGAAAGCCTTTGGGCCAATCCTCAGGGGACGGTGAGTATTAATTCTGCATTAGATTTCATGAAGTCTCCTCCGAAAAGGTGAGTTCCACTCCTGCTGCGCGAAGAAGAAACAGTTGAATGACTTTGGTCGAATAACTAAAAGATGTTGACTTGTGTTTCTGCATTAGGCATGATATGCTCTCCTTCTGGAATCCTCATGATGGGAGGCTGAAATTCTTTGGGCTAATACTGAGCGGATGGTGAGTTTTAATTATGCATTAGATTTCCGGATTCTTCTCCTAAAAGGTGAGTTCCACTCCTTCCGCGTGAACAACAGACCGTTGAATGACTTTTGCAAACAACTAAAAGATGTTGACTTGTCTTCCTGCATTAGGCATGGTACGCTCTCCTACTGGAATCCTCACGATGGGTGGCTGCAAGTCTTTGACCAATACTCAGCAGATTGTGAGTTTAAATTCTGCATTAGATTTCATGAAGTCTTCTCCTAAAAGGTGGGTTCCACTCCTGCCGCGCGAACAACAAGACCGTTGCATGATTTTGGCGAACTACCAAAAGATGTTGTCTTGTCTTCCTGCATTAGGCATGGTACTTTCTCCTCCTGGAATCCTCATGATGGTGGGCTGAATGACTTTTGCCAAATACTCAGTGGACTGTGAGTTCTAATTCTACATAGCTTTGATTAAGACTTATTCTAAAGGTGACTTCCACTCCTACCGTGCGAAGAAGAAACAGTTGAATGAGTGGTTGAATAACTAAAGGATGATGACTACTCTTCCTGTATTAGGTATGGTACGTACGTTCCTCCTGGAATCCTCATGATCGGTGGCTGCAAGTCTTTGGGCCAATACTCAGCGGACAGTGAGTTCTAATTCTGTATTAAATTTCATGAAGCCTTCTCCTAAAAGGTGAGCTCCACTCCTGCCATGCGAACAACAGACAGTCGAATGACTTTGGCGAAAAACTAAACAACGATGACTTCTCTTCCTGGATTAGGCATGGTACACTCTCCTCCTGGAATCCTCATGATCGGTGGCTGAAAGTCTTTGATCCAATACTCAGGGGCCGGTGAGTCCTAATTCTGTATTTGAATTCACAAAGTCTTCTCTAAAAGGTGAGTTCCACTCCTTCCGCGGCGAAGAACAGACCGTTGAATGACTTTTGCAAACAACTAAAAGATGTTGACTTGTCTTCCTGCATTAGGCATGGTGAGTTCTCCTCCTGGAATCCTCTCATCATGGTGGCTGAATGACTTTTGCCAAATACTCAGTGTACTCTGAGTTCTAATTCTACATAGCTTTGATGAAGTCTTCTCCTAAAAGGTGAGTTCCACTCCTACCGCACGAAAAACAGACAGTTGAATGACTTGGTTGAATAAATAAAAGATGTTGACTTGTCTTCCTGCATTAGGCATGATACGCTCTCCTCCTGGAATCCTCATGATGGTGTGGATGAAAGTCTCTGGGCCAATACTGAGGGGACGGTGAGTTCTAATTCTACATAGCCTTAATGAAGTCTTCTCCTAAAAGGTGAGTTCCACTCCTGCCGCACGAAAAACAGACAGTTGAATGACTTTGGTTGAATAACTAAACAAAGAATAGACCGTTGAATGACTTTGACAAACAACTAAAAGATGTTGAATTGTCTTCCAGCATTAGGCATAAGATGTTTCTCTTCCTGGAATCGTCATGATGAGTGGATGTAAGACTTTGGGCCAATACTCAGGGGATGGTGAGTTCTATTCTGCATTAGCTTTGGTGACGTCTTCTGCTAAGAGGTGAGTTCCACTCCTGCCATGCGAACAACAGACAGTAGAATGACTTTGGCAAACAACTAAACAACGATCACTTCTCTTCCTGTATTAGGCATGGCACGTCTCTTCTGGAATCCACATGATGGGTGGCTGAGAGACTTTGGGCCAATACTCAGCAGATGATGTGTTCTAATTCTGCATTAGCTTTGATGAAGTCTTCTCGTAAAAGGTGAGTTCCACTTCTTCCGTGCCTATAAGAAACAGTTGAATGTCTTTGGTGAACAACTAAAAGATGATGACTTCTCTTCCAGCATTAGGCATTGTACGTTCTCCTCCTGGAATCCTCATGATGGGTGGCTGAAAGACTTTGGGCTTATACGAAGGGATGGTGAGTTCTAATTCTGCATTAGCTTTGATGAAGTCTTCTCCGAAAAGTTGAGTTCCACTCCTTTCGTGCATACAAGTAACAGTTGAATTTCTTTGATCGAATAACTAAAAGATGATGACTTGTCTTCCTGCATTAGGTATGGTACGTTCTACTCCTGGAATCGTCATGATGTGTGGATGTAAGTCTTTGGGCCAATACTCAGGGGATGGTGAGTTCTAATTCTGCATTAGCTTTGGTGACGTCTTCTGCTAAGAGGTGAGGTTCCACTCCTGCCATGCGAACAACAGACAGTAGAATGACTTTGGCAAACAACTAAACAACAATCACTTCTCTTCCTGTATTAGGCATGGTACGTCTCTTCTGGAATCCACATGATGGGGTGGCTGAGAGACTTTGGGCCAATACTGAGGGGATGGTGAGTTCTAATTTACATTAACTTTGATGAAATCTTCTCCTAAAAGGTGAGTTCTAGACCTGCTGCACGAACAAGAAACAATTGAATGACTTTGGTTGAATAACTAAAAGATGTTGAATTGTCTTCCAGCATTAGGCATAAGATGTTCTCTTCCTGGAATCCTCATGGTGGTGGTTGAAAGACTTTGGGCCAATTCTCAGGGGACAGTGAGTTCTAATTCTGCTTTGATTTCATGAAGTCTTCTCCGAAAACATGAGTTCCATTCCTTCCGCGCGCGAACAAGAAACAGTTGAATGAGCGGTTGAATAACTAAACAATGTTGACTTCTTGTCTTCTGTATTAGGCATGGTACGTTCTACTCCTGGAATCATCATGATGGGTGGATATAAGACTTTGGGCCAATACTCAGGGGACGGTAAGTTCTAATTCTGCATTAGCTTTGATGACGTCTTCTGCTAAGAGGTGAGTTCCACTCCTGCCACGTGAACAGCAGACAGTAGAATGACTTTGGCAAACAACTAAACAATGGTAGCTGAAAGTCTTTGGGCTAATCCTCAGCGGACGGTGAGTTCTAATTCTGCTTTGATTTCCTGAAGTCTTCTCCGAAAAGGTGAGTTCCACTCCTGCCATGCAAACAACAGACCGTTGAATGACTTTGGCGAACTACTAAAAGATGATGTCTCTCTTCCTGTATTAGGCATGGTACGTTCTCCTTCTGGAATCCTCATGACGGATGGCTGAAAGACTTTGGGCCAATACTCAGCGGACGGTGAGTTCTCATTTTGCGTTAGGTTTTGATCAGTTCTAAATGTTAAGTTCCACTGCTGCAGCTCCCTGAACAAATGGCTGTGTGACTTTGGATCAATAACTGAAATTTGGTACTTTTCTTCAATCAATAGTCATGTTGAATTCTACTCCAGCAATATTCACAAAAGTTCGCTGAATGACTTTGGGCCAATAAGAAGGATATTGTGAGTTCTAGTTCTCCAATAGGCACAAATCCATCTTTCCTTCCTTCCTTCCTTCCTTCCTTCCTTCCTTCCTTCCTTCCTTCCTTCCTTCCTTCCTTCCTTCCTTCCTTCCTTCCTCCCTCCCTCCCTCCCTCCCTCCCTCCCTCCCTCCCTCCTTGTTTTTCCTCTCTTTCCCTCTCTCTTTCCCTCTTCCCCTTTCAGAAGGCCATCTCAGTGACCTTAGGCCAATTATTCTTTCCCAGATCTAGGAAGGAGGGAAAAGGAAACCACTTCTGAAAAATTTGCCAAAAAATGGAGACGGATTTCTTCAGGCAATCTTTGAGAAATTGAACCGTCTGAATAGAAGAAAAAAGAGCAATGGATGATGAAGATGGAAGGGACCCTCCTCAGCGTACTACGTCCTGGCTGAGACCACAGTGTGGCCGGACAGAGGCCCCTTCGGCCCCCAGGAAGACCAACGACGCCCATTGCGTGATCCGAAGTCATCGACTGAAGTGGGACCACAGCCATTTCACCGGGCAATTGGCTGAATGAACCACACCCACTTGATGCTGCCCCGTATCATCCGACAAGTGTGGAGCAGTGGTGGGATTCCAATAATTCAACAACCACTTGTCTACCCTAATGACCGGCTGGGTGGGCGTGGCCATGGTGGGTGTGGCCAGGGGGTATTATTGGCAGCACTCAGCCTCCTGCACCCCCCTGGGAGGAAAAACGGGCTGCGGGGGGAGGGGGAATACGCCACCACCCTGTGCCCCATTTTGGGCCTAGTTGGCCTCCCTGGTGCCTCTTGGGAGCAAAAACAGGCCTTAGGGTGGCCGCACCGCACCCCCCGCCATGTTTTGGGCCTAGTAGGCCTCCCTGCAGCCTCCCGGGAGTGAAAATGGGCCTTAGGGTGGCCACGCCGCATCCCCCGCCCTGTTTTGGGCCTAGTAGGCCTCCCTGCAGCCTCCTGGAAGTGAAAATGGGCCTTAGGGTGGCTGTACTGCACACCCCGCCCTGTTTTGGGCCTAGTAGGCCTCCCTGCAGCCTCCTGGGAGTGAAAATGGGCCTTAGGGTGGCCGTATCGCACACCCCGCCCTGTTTTGGGCCTAGTAGGCCTCCCTGCAGCCTCCTGGGAGTGAAAATGGGCCTTAGGGTATCTGTACTGCACAGCCCGCCCTGTTTTGGGCCTAGTAAGCCTCCCTGCAGCCTCCCGGGAGTGAAAATGGGCCTTAGGGTGGCTGTACCGCACACACCCCGCCCTGTTTTGGGCCTAGGAAGCCTCCCTGCAGCCTCCTGGGAGTGAAAATGGGTCTTAGGGTGGCCTTATCGCACACCCCGCCCTGTTTGGGCCTAGTAGCCTCCCTGCAGCCTCCCGGGAGTGAAAATGGGCCTTAGGGTGGCTGTACTGCACACCCCGCCCTGTTTTGGGCCTAGGAAGCCTCCTGCAGCCTCCTGGGAGTGAAAATGGGTCTTAGGGTGGCCTTATCGCACACCCCCCGCCCTGTTTGGGCCTAGTAGGCCTCCCTGCAGCTCCCGGGAGTGAAAATGGGCCTTAGGGTGGCTGTACCGCACACCCCGCCCTGTTTTGGGCCTAGGAAGCCTCCCTGCAGCCTCCTGGGAGTGAAAATGGGCCGTTGGTGGGGGGGACGCACCTCCTCCACCCTGTTTTGGGCCTAGTAGGCCTCCCTGTAGCTACTCGTAATTTCTTAGTCACATTTCCTGACCATCCAGATTGCTTTTGTTCCTGAAGGGACCCCCAAGTGCCACAAAAACGTGTTTGTGGCCACATTCAAAGCCCTCAAAAAGCTCACCCCTCCCAGCTTGGCACAAACCCTGTTTTATCCAATTTATTAATTACATTTTAATGGCAGCCATCTGTCAGAAATGGTGTAGGGTCTCTTGCTTGGTCGGGGCGGGGGGTTGGACTAGATGACCTACAAGGTCCCTTCCAACTCTGTTCATCTGTATCTGTATCCATACACCGATTCTGGATGGATTATCATAGAATGAAAATATTTTTTTTAAAAAAAAGACAATAAAAAGGCATTTTTAATGAAGACGTTTATTTATTTATTTATTTATTGGTTCGATTTCTATGCCGCCCTTCTCCGGAGACTCAGGGCGGCTTACAATGCATTAAGCATTGTAAGTTTAAAAGAGAAAGCCATTTATTTCAGCCAGTTTGCACGGAGGCTGCTGCTACGTCTTTCCCTGACTTGGCTAAATTGGTTGTGAGACCCCAAGTGTTTTGGGGGCATTGATTGCGGATTCTTTGTCCTCTCACAGAATTATAGTCACTTTAGGCCATTGTCTCTCAAGCTGGGCCCCTTGAAGATGGGTGGACTTCAACTCCCAGAATTCCCCAGTCACCGTGCCTTCAAAGGGGTGGGGGAATTCTGGGAGTCGAAGTCCACCCATCTTCATGGCCAAGGTTAAGAAACACTCTGTTAGGACCAGTGGTGAAATCCAATTTTTTTTAGTACCGGTTCTGTGGGCGTGGCAGGGGAAGGATACTGCAAAATCTCCATTCCCTCCCCACTCCTGGGGGAAGGATATTGCAAAATCTCCATTCCTTTCCCACTCTTGGGGGAAGGATACTGCAAAATTTCCATTCCCACCCCACTCCAGGGGAAGGATACTGCAAAATCCCCATTCCCACCCCACTCCAGGAGGAAGGATATTGCAAAATCTCCATTCCCTCCCCACTCCTGGGGGAAGGATATTGCAAAATCTCCATTCCCTTCCCACTCCGGGGGAAGGATACTGCAAAATCTCCATTCCCTCTCCACTCCAGGGGAAGGATATTGCAAAATCTCCATTCCCTCTCCACTCCTGGGGGAAGGATACTGCAAAATCTCCATTCCCACCCCACTCCAGGGGAAGGATACTGCAAAATCTCCATTCCCACCCCACTCCGGGGGAAGGATATTGCAAAATCTCCATTCCCTCTCCACTCCTGGGGGAAGGATACTGCAAAATCTCCATTCCCACCCCACTCCTGGGGAAAGGATACTGCAAAATCTCCATTCCCTCCCCACTCTGGGGCCAGCCAGAGGAGGTATTTGCCGGTTCTCTGAAGTACTCAAAATTTCCGCTACCGGTTCTCCAGAACCTGTCAGAACCTGCAGGATTTCACCCCTGGTTAGGACACAACAAGCTGGAATATTGTGACATTAGCCGCAACTCCACAAGAGGGCACCGGCTACCAGGCTGAGCTAGCGGCAACCTTCCACTCCAGTTACGGCCAGGTGCCGCTCTCTACCTGTTGAGCTGCTGCCAAAATCCAGGAAGCAGCAGAAAGATTTAAACTCGTTTAGATTCCTTCTAAACCAGTCCCTTTTGAGAAATGCCAGAATAAAGGAATCAAGGAATGTTATTATTTATTTAGTTATTTATTTTGTTGAGTACGTATTAGATAATATATATGTATAAGCATGAATTGAATACGTAAAGTGAATACAATTAAAGGGAACATTAGGACAGGGACGGTAGGCATACTGGTGCTCTTATGCACGCCCCTTAAAACTTCCTGATGCTTTACTTCTCTTTTCCTTTCCCTATTTGTGCCCATCTCCTGTGCTGGCCAAATCTCTTCAGAGCATTGGGCGTTTCCTCCAGAAAGGAAGACAATCTTCCAGTCACCAAAAACCTTCAGGATTTATTTTATTTTTATTTGTCAAATTTATTGGCCACCCATCTTACCACAGGGTAACTCTGGCTATGTTTAGCCTGGGGAGGTGGGGGGGGGCAGAGAAAAGAGAACGCAGGGGTGCCCAAAGTAGCTTTCCCTGGATCAAAACACACTTTGTGTAGAATTGTAGAAGTGAATAAATAGGACACTTGGCCTGGAGCTGCCTGCCGATGGTTGGATTTCAGCTCCCATCATCCCAGACAAGGCTGAACCCCAAATGTTGGTGGAGACCACCAAATGGCCTACGTCTGCTTGAAACAGAATGGAAGGGACCTTGGAGGTCCAGCCTGCTGCCCAAGCCAGTCAAATGGCTGTCCATTCTCTTCTTCAAAACCTCCAGTGATGGATCACACCAAACTTCTAGAGGGAAGCTGTTGCGTCCATTAATTGAACAAGGCTGTCAGGTTTCGAGGTCGTCTCAAATAAATTGCATTTCAAACAAAGTCTTTGATGAAAAACTCCCATTTATTAAGCACGACATTCTAACTCCGACTCCATCGTAGCCAACACTGACTTCCTGACCCAAAACCCTCCCTTTCCTTTCCCCACTCCTCTGCACTCATTGGCCATCTTCCAAGTCTCTCTACCCCTAATCTACTGCTCCAGCTCAAAGGAATTTCCCCCCTCCCATCCCATCTCCTAAGGGATATTATCTCCAGGGAAAATAAGTAGGTGAAAAGTCAAACGTCCCTTTCCAGACGCCTCCGCTTCTCCTTCTTATGTCAGCACTAGAGTAAATCTTGAAGTGCTGACAAAGGCACGTTTGGATTGCTGTCAAGCTGACCCAGAGCCTGAAGGGTGGTGAAATCCAGGGAAAAAGGACCCTCCTGGACCCTCCAGCCCCTATCTGGCTCAGCCCCCCTCCCTAGTTGAGTTGTCTAACAGTTTCAGGGATGGGTCTGTTCTTGCAGAAAACTTTCCTGCCTATCTGGAAATCCACCCCAAAGTCTGGCTGGTGGAGTGAGTCAAAGGCCCCACTCCTTCTTAGTCATCTCTGGAGAACTCTGCTGGTCACTTGGGCCTCCTGCCCTGGAGGAGCCACTGGCCAGAAGACTCACCTCATGACCTTCTCGGCTTGGTATGTGAAGGATCTGGCAGGACTTCCTGGGTGGCGAAGGCAGCTCCGGGATTCAAAAGCTTCTATTCCGGGATGTGCCATTGACTCAACTCTGGGCTGAATCACCTTGGATTGACATGCCGTGAATGGGTCAGGAAGGTGACCCACAGGAGGGGCACAACCACACCCACACACCTCACACGAGGCAAGTTGGTAAGCAAGGAAGGAACAGAAAGTTGGAGGTTTTCACAGCTAGAGAAGGAACTCATGGGATGAAGACTCCTGCCTTGGGCAGAGGGGTGGACTAGAAGACCTCCAAAGTCCCTTCCAGCCCTACAATTCTATGATTCTATGAGCTTGGGCAGGGGGATGGACTAGACCTCCAAAGTCCCTTCCAGCCCTACAAGTCTATGATTCTATGAGCTTGGGCAGGAGGATGGACTGGAAGACCTCCAAAGTCCCTTCCAGCCCTACAAGTCTATGATTCTATGAGTTTGGGCAGGAGGATGGACTGGAAGACCTCCAAAGTCCCTTCCAGCCCTACAAGTCTATGATTCTATGAGCTTGAGCAGGAGGATGGACTGGAAGACCTCCAAAGTCCCTTCCAGCCCTACAAGTCTATGATTCTATGAGCTTGGGCAGGAGGATGGACTGGAAGACCTCCAAAGTCCCTTCCAGCCCTACAAGTCTATGATTCTATGAGCTTGGGCAGGAGGATGGACTGGAAGACCTCCAAAGTCCCTTCCAGCCCTACAAGTCTATGATTCTATGAGTTTGGGCAGGAGGATGGACTGGAAGACCTCCAAAGTCCCTTCCAGCCCTACAAGTCTATGATTCTATGAGTTTGGGCAGGAGGATGGACTGGAAGACCTCCAAAGTCCCTTCCAGCCCTACAAGTCTATGATTCTATGAGTTTGGGCAGGAGGATGGACTGGAAGACCTCCAAAGTCCCTTCCAGCCCTACAAGTCTATGATTCTATGAGTTTGGGCAGGGGATGGACTAGACCTCCAAAGTCCCTTCCAGCCCTACAAGTCTATGATTCTATGAGCTTGGGCAGGAGGATGGACTGGAAGACCTCCAAAGTCCCTTCCAGCCCTACAAGTCTATGATTCTATGAGCTTGGGCAGGGGATGGACTAGAAGACCTCCAAAGTCCCTTCCAGCCCTACAAGTCTATGATTCTATGAGCTTGGGCAGGAGGATGGACTGGAAGACCTCCAAAGTCCCTTCCAGCCCTACAATTCTATGATTCTATGAGTTTGGGCAGGAGGATGGACTGGAAGACCTCCAAAGTCCCTTCCAGCCCTACAATTCTATGATTCTATGAGCTTGGGCAGGGGAATGGACTAGAAGACCTCCAAAGTCCCTTCCAGCCCTACAAGTCTATGATTCTATGAG